AAGAGAAGTTGAACGGCGGGAGAAATCCTCTTGCCAATAGTGACGCGTATGTTAGCATAAACACACCGCATTCGTTAATGCCGCGCTGTCTAGGAATGCCTGACACATTCCATATGTGGTTGAAATCTTTTGTATCTACCACCTTACCCTGTTCAGTTGATCTTTCGAACAAAAATCTTGCGAAACCACCTGTCACTTTCCTTGCGAATTCTTTGTGAGGGGTAAGCGAGTCGTAGTACTCTATTTTCTTGCGTCTCAAGTCCGCTATTACTAGTGTCCAATGGTTGGACATCCGAACATGGAATGAAGCTATTATTAAGTCTACGTCGCCCACATCGATATCCGTCATCCACTTTCGCACTGCGCTGTATTTCTATTGCATATCGTCATCGAACAATTTCGCGAAGAAGAAGGAACTAAAAATCGTTGTTATCGGGATGCGCCCTTTTCCTTCTACTACAGTTCCGTCTTGTCCACTGTCACACTCGTGATGGCTTATGCGACACATGTTGTCAAGCCTAACGAGTTTCAAATAAAAGTTAACTATTTCGTTGTTCAACCATTTGCCTTGAAGCAATATGAAGCTCAAATCATGCCTGGTTAGTGGTAGTTCTTCTTTTGTGGCCCCGTTGTACGTGGATGTCCAGACCGTTCGATTCTTCACTTGCACTGAATCTCGTAAACGTTGTACCGCGGCCTTCTCCTTCTCCGACAACTTATCCTTCGCTAAGTGGATCGTCCATCCCTGTTTGCATCTTCGTACTTCTTCTATGTTCCTCCTTTCTGCACATGACAATGCATTATGCGTCAGCATAAGCTATCAATATTGGGGCTTGTCATATTTGCATGCCCGAAACGACCTTCAAAATTTCAATTGCTAAATCCTGCCAACATGATACTATATCGAGTATACATAAACACCCCGACCTCCACCCTTCCGCGTAATATATCGATCAATGAAGCTTATCGCAAACTATAGGGGTTATCGGTAACCCTGCTTCCATCTGTTCATTGTTGATCATGTTCATTACTATTGGTAAAATTTTCAAAATAAGTTCATAATATTCACAGTACGCTACAAGATGGCACAACAAGTTCTCTGAAATTTTAGGTGTCATTTGCACATGACAGGCAAAGTGCCCCATATAGTGCATTTTCATATGCCTTCATTATAAAACTGTACCAAGCACGTGCACACAATTTAGTCCACACACACAGAACCTGGCGCTGCTAACGAGTCAACCTCTGCGTACTCAAACCCAGACACACACATACACACACACACATACACACACACACACACACACACACACACACACACAC